AAACTGGAATGTGAGTCTACTTAATAAAATGAATACGAAACTAATATATATATATATAAATTCCCAAGAGGATATAATCCAGGTAGAACTCAGTGTGTCCAGGACAGAGTAAGAATATAAAAGGCTCAAACACTAATATTCCATGGTTACATTGGAATCATAATCAGGATCCAATTTATCAGACTTACAAATTCCAAATTTGTAGGTCTGATGAATTGATTGTGATTATGATTCCAATGTAATAAATTATAACCATGGAATATATATTGAGCCTTTAAAATATATATATATATATATATATATATATATATATATATATATATATATATATATATAGTGTGTGTATTTAGGCTGCATATTTTCATTCATACACGTTTCATTAAATAATATAGACAAGTATTGTCTATTTTATGTAAATTTTTTCATAACATCTGATAAGTTTAATAACATTATCGTTGAACGAAGAAAGAAATTCACAATATTGATCAATATTTTTTTAATATAAACTAAGCTTTATCAAAGATGTCAATTACAACATATTGAGCAATATACGGAAAGACAGTGATGATAGTCTGTCAGTGTTTACATAGATGATTTCTAAGCAACGATAAACATGCTTATATGAGCGTTTATCGTATATATATATATATATATATATATATATATATATAAATAAACGCATATATCATTAGTGTTTAAGCCTTTTTATTATATCCTTACTCTGTCTTGGACATTGAGTTCTACCTGGATTCTTCCTCTTGGAATTTTTATTAAAAAAAAAAATATACATGTATGGGTATTTATATATTTTGCATATGTATGTATATTTACCACTAATATTATCTATCTATCTATCTATCTACACACACACACACACACACACACACACACACACATATATATATATATACACACACACATATATATATATATATCATCACAATGCTCTGTTTAGTTTTGCAAGGACTCCTTTTTTTATAAAGTTTAGATTTTCATTATCTTATTATTGTTAATGTGTAAAAAGAAAATATAATTTATTTAAAAATGAGGTATGATAATATTGATTAAAATAGCATTTACTTGGATATTTGTCTTTTTTACCTTCTACTAAATTGTTCAGAAAAGGGGGGGAGTAAAAGCAACACACTTTTTTACGTCGTTTATGATTATTTGTAAATTATCTGAGGTTTCGATGGGCAGGACATGTAGCAAGAATGGAAAAGTCAAGGTTTCCATGTCAAATCTTATTCAGCGAGCCCATTTCAGGGAAAAGACTGGTGTTGCCCTTATTGAAGATACTAGGACCAACTCAAAACAACGCAGAAAGCCAGTGGACTTGAGCCTAAATCGTTTGAAAGACAAGCCTAAGACCATACCAACTGGCGATGTTCCATCATCATCAGAACCAAAAACTTTCTAGTCACCAGAAGGGAAAAGGAAGACATCAAACAACAAGAAGGAAAGCCTCGACAAAATCGACTTCGTCCTCCTCCAATATTGCTATGTAGTTAGTGCTATCGGCTCTTCCATGCAAGAATCTGTCTACTTAGTCCTCAACATCATTATCATAAAAAGAAGTGATCAGCAAAGAAATTATATTCTTGGATATAAGAGACAAAAATGACGAAAATCATTGATAAGTTTCGGAAGGGTGCCAAGGGAAATAACTCTGAATTATGAATATAAGTTACTTCCCTTTATACAGATTTTGAACTATTTTTTCAGCCTTTGAAATTTTTATCTTATTTTATTTTATTTTTTATAAAATTACTTCGAAATCATCCCCAACACCATTAACAAATAATAGCATTCAGTTGTCTTTTCTTTTTTTCTCTAAAGTGAGTATGTACAAAGTTTATATGTGATTGGAAAGTGTGTGTCCAATGTAGAACAAAGAAACTTGAACTTACATTGATGAAATTTGAAATGAGGGTAAAAAAGGACAAAGTTTTGGGGATTTTTTTTTTTTTTTTTTTTTTTGCAGTGAAAGACATTGATTTGGAAATTCTTGCAAAAATCAAATAATTGTTGGATTTTATTGAAACTTTCAAGACTTATTCACAAATAAATTATTCTAAAAATGTTTTTTTTTTTTTTCTTTTTTAATTCTGTTAGCCCCTCACTTATTTAATGAAATTTTGAGAAATTCATTTTTGTACCATTTAATGTTCATATTAGTTATATGCAGGACCTTTTTTTTTCTTTGTAAAAAAAATAAAATTTTAAATCTTTTTTAAATTTCTGTTTTAATTTGTACTAGTTAGGTGATACAAGTATTAAGTAAAAAGCTATATTTACTATCATAAATGGAAAAGCCCCCTTAATATTTTTTTAAATTTGAATTTTTTGTGTGTGTATATAAATATGACAATTTTTGTAAATAAAAGTGACAACTATAGTAAATTTAATCTTGAAGTGCCTAAAATTCGATAAAACATTAGATTACGGAGAATATTTTTGTAAATTTTTAAGATTACTGATAAAAAGGCACTCATGTTGTATCCCTCAAGTAATTTTTACAAATAAAAATTAGATAAACTTCAGACTTTCAGTCAAGCTGTCAATGTGTCAACACTTTCAATAAACACCTACCATAATGTTAAAAATGCATTTGTCATATTTTAAACTTAAAGGAAGTCAAAGTTGTTTTAAATCATCTAATATTCCTGAAATAAAATTTCAAAAAAGTATATTTTATTCATGAAAAAATGTTTAATAGAGAATTTCACTGTGATGACAAGTAGATAAAAATGATGTTAAAAATCGGTCAATTTAATTTTGAAATACAGAAAAAGGTTGTTTTTTTTTGTTTTTTTTGTTGTTTATTTTTTTATTGGAATAATTAAATTTATTTTATTAGCTTGGAATTAACTAAAATAAAAGTTTCAAGAAAGATTTTTCATTTTTAAAAATGCATTTTAAACTTTAGTTATCACATTTCTGTGGAGGAAGCTACATAAAATCTGCCATATTCATATTTGTTCATCAATATTGTTCACTTACAAATTGTTTCTATAATTTTTAATAATAATATTAACAAAATTTTAGATAATGAGTTGAATTATTTTGACATTTAAAATATTTTTTCCAATTAAAATGATAATTGTTTCCTGACAATAACTTCAAGCTATTGAAAGTTGAGTGCAACTTACTTTAGATTTTAATCTTGCACTTTTAGAAAATTTAAATCCTATGATTTATGAAACATATGCAAATGGAACAAAGTAATTTTTTTTTTTCTTTAAGCATTTTCATCATTTTTGATCCAACTAAGAACCTTTACTTCAGTTTATTTTTTTAATTTCTAAAAATGGCTATTTTCATGACAAACCTAGAAGGAAAGTGACTTAGAATCAAAGGGAACAAATTTCAATTTTAAAACACTGTTATTTTTTAGATATGTTGTCTAGGAATCCCTCAATTAATGCACATTCGGTTAGTGTACTGAAATTTTTTATACCAAAATTCAATTAGTGCATGCATAATACTTGATTAGTGCAGTAAAACATTACTCAGTTTAACCATAGTAATTGAAAATTGATTTTTTTTTATAGTTACCGATTTAATTAAAAAATTTTCTAAAATTTAAAAATGGAAAGTGGGTAACTATTTTGTTTGTCAATTTTGTTTACATTCAATTAATGCATTTTCAATTAGTGCATATCTATTAAGGTACACAATAGCGGCACTAATCCTGTAATTTATTTATTACTGCTTAATTTACCCCACTTTGATAGGATCCATTCATCCTAATGGTTACTTGTCTAAGAAATTGAAGCTTTTCTTATTACTGCCCACTGACTTTATCACTACTCTGTCACACTTACACTTTAGCCATTTCTGTACTAACCAATGAAATAGTTTTGTTTTTGTTAATCAAGTTCATCCCAAGCAAGGCAGTAAAGCCTCTAAAACAATACTTTACTGGATGTGGAAGAATTAGAAAACAGAAACATTACTAAGGTGTGAGAACAAAAGAAGTGTAATCGGGAAGACAGTAGATAATGATTGGCATTGCATTTACATGGAACAACAAGCGAGAAGTGTGAAATAAGAAATTGTTAGCATAGAATTTACGGTTACATCTAGCTGATTCAACTGTAAATTGATGAAACATTGTCACCAGTCTAATACTCTAATTAGGTAACCTAATGAAGAGCTTATCTAAACAATTATCATGAAAGCATTTATAGAAAAGGTGCAGGGAGATATTTTTATGTGACTGAAGCCCAAGATGCCAGATCAGGACCAATAACATTGCTGCATTTAAGAATTATTACTGCATTTTTAGCACTCAATCTGTGTTGCACATTGAAAATTGGGAACAAAGGAATTATCAGTCATCTGGAATTGATGTAAAGTTATTTCTAAAAAAAAAAAAAGGTGCCATAATCTTATAGAATATTATCTGATTATTGCTAATTGTTCTTTTTTGTTTGGTTGCCCAATATCCTGTCCTTGGTATGACAATAAACTACGTCCACATCCTGGGTAAGACAATAAACTATATCCGACAACAAGGCCTTTGACTGGGAGGTTTTGAGGAGCATGGAACCACCTCTTAATTGCTGGTGTTCTCGGGTCCACCCTGACCCAGGGTGGTACCACACATCAGGGTCCCAGCTATGGGCAGATAGTTAAAGAGGTCAAAACAATATGAAAATATAAAAATAGGTTTTAATACCAACAATACTGTTTTGAAAAAATTATTGCCAGCAATATATTTTTGATAAAAAATAAAACATATTACCAGCATTAAATAAGCCATTGAGGTTGATATACCATAAAACAAACCAAATCAAACTTCCAATATCAATGAATGTATGCAATTTGATGATAGTCCTGTATATTCCTAAACTGTTCAGAGTTATATGAAATTTAAAAAAAAAATAATAGTTCGAAAAACCTCTTAGGATCAGATACATATTGTGATTATTTTAGGAGATTGATTTTTATAATTTTTTACATTTTGCTATGTTTCTCACTCCTCCAAGAGGCATATGGCCACATCACGTTAAAACATTGATTTCCATATGATTACCAAAGTTAAGCAACGTTGAACCTAGTCAGTACCTAGATGGGTGATTGCTTGGGAATACCGGGTGCTGTAAACTTGGATGTGCAGGTGGTGTAACGAATAGTGGCTCCAAATTGTTAATCAGAGAATGGAGTTCCAATTCTTGTTGGGTTCATTATATTTACTTACATGCTAATGTCATTGGGAAAGATATAAATCCACCTCTTCTCCCCCCAGCTATGGGTTAATTAATAAAACTTGTATCACTAGACCATTATTAAAAAATAAAATTGTCACAATCTAAAAATATTTCTTGGCTTTAAATAACCTTCAAAAGGTTAATAAGCCATAAAAAAAACGAATCAATCAACTACTCCACCTGAACTGACGTTTTTTTTATGTGTGTGTATGTGTTACAAATTCCCTCTCATAGGACAAAATTAAAAATAAAGAAATTGTTTGTACATTTGAGATCATTTTTCTGTCTTTTACTAACCCCTACTCTCACCCCAGGCCAATTGTTTCATTCAGATCAGATACCAATTGAAAATTTACTTTGTTGAGAGATGAAAAAAAAAAATAAAATAAAACCTCCATTCCATTTTGTTTTTGAGGTGTTTGCACAAAAAAGAATTCCATGTAAATGTGTGCAAATTATCTTAATGTTTGTTGCTGTTTCATCTTTAACTTCCCTTTTATTTATTCTCTGGCTGCCTTCACGTAAAACTGCTAAATCCATTTTCTTGTCAATTTTAAGATTGAACTGAATGTTTGATATATTCATAATCTATAAAAAAAAAAAAAAATGAAGACTTACATAAGGGAAGCAACTCTTAATGTCTCTTGTGTAGCAGTTAAACTAAAATTAAATTTTAATTCTTTCCTTCATAAAATCTTTGTGTCACTTGACATTTTTTTCTTTTTTTTGACAATCACATAAGACTCTGAAGCTTACCATAAATGCAGTGATTAGAAACATCATTTCATTGCTTGTGTCTTGTGTTCTTCATTTCTGTGGTCCTAGGCAATGGTAAACAAACTTACTTTGGCAGCCATTGTTAGTGTAGTGAGTTCAATCCTGTATTTTTGTGGCTTTGTACTTTTTGTTTTTTAAGCTAAGTTTAGTGAAGTATCTCATTAATATTTACTATGTAGTAACAGTTAACAAGCTAGTCTGTTGGGTTTGACTTTCACCAGATTAAGATAAGCTTAGTAAATATAGATTATCCTCTTCATGCCCATGGTTAATAAACTAGTCTTGTACACTGTTGGTAATTGAATGCCTCACTTTGATGGCCTTGTACCAGTCTAAGGTTACAAAATGTGTGTACTGTTTTGTTTTTTTTGTCCGTTTTTTTCTCTCTCATTTTGAATGGTTATTAAATCTATGAAAAACTATTAACGTTATTAAATCAAGGTAATTAACAAATAATTAGAAACATGGGCTGTGGAAACAGGGCCTGTGCAGACTCTGTGGAAACAGGGCCTGTGCAGTAACTGAGCAGTACTAAAAAAAGAACAAGGTCAGATATCCCTAAATATGGACAGTGGAACAAGAACAATCTAACTCCATAGATTAAATAAATGGTTCCGTTAGGAATTCCTTGGAGAGCATAATGGTTGAAATGTCATGATAACAACAACAAAGATGAGAACCATGTAAATAATGATGATTCCCCATCCCAAAGATTTGGACAGCAATTAGAAAAAAAAAATTAATTAATTAAACTCGCTTGTAGACTCAAAATTGAAGCATCTCTTAAAAAAAAAAAAAAAAAAATTGCTGGGTTTTGCTTGTCTGAAAGTCGTCCCCCCACCACCAAATAACAGCATTTCCACTTTGCATAAAAATTTTGTGAAACAGTTGAAAATAAATTGTTTTTTTTTATAGAGGGAAACTGAGCCAAATCATCTCCACCCAAAGACACTGGGGACTCATTTTCCACACCAGAAAATGGTTCTACTGTATTGTTATGCTACTTAGTCTGGGTCTTTGGGGATCATCTGCTTTACAAGCCAAACTATCTGGAATATCATAGCATTCATTCCTCTTCTTTCTTGTGTGGTGGGGTGTGGTATCTCTTATTTCTGCTTTATCCTATCAATCTATACCTAAGCTTGAAGAATTTGGGTGTGTATTTTTTTTTTTTTATGTAACTTAATGCACTTGTGGGTTTTACTTCTCAAAAGTGTTTGTGTGTCCGTCTTCATACATTTAGCCAGTGAAAGATTTTGTTTGTTGATCACCTGCCCTTGAAGTATAACTTATAATTGCTGATGCTAAATTTTGATAATATTTGAATACCAGAAAGATGATACGTCAACATAAATCCGAAGCTTTAAAATGACCAGAAGTATACTAGAAACCACTTGATCACAGTTGGATAATTTTTAAGCACTAGTCTATATTGCCTGTTGATGGATTGTCTTTAAACCTATAGGATTCATTTTACTTTTAGCCATTGATCTAAGAAAATGGTTGTATGTAGAAGATAATGTAGGCTTTTCTGAATGTGAGAATATGAGAATCTCAATCTTATAAGGCTATTTTAAGAAGATGACTTTTCTGGTTAATATTTTGACTTTGTAGCATCTTGTGGCGTTGGATGAAACTAACCCTATCTTATATTCTGTATCCTTATCTATTTTACTAAATTTGTTATAACTGTTCCATATACTGATATATTTGAAGTGTTCAGATTTTATTAATTCTACATCCTGCATCATAGTTTCTGTTTTGGAAAGTTTTATCATCAGAATTCCTACTTAGAACTCTTAGTAGAGAACATTTTTTTCTTTTTTTTTTTTTTGTTCAAGATCATTCTTATTCCAGCTGGTGGGGTGGCAAGAATGGTATTTTTCATTTGTAAATTCATTTGAAATGTTGTATGAAATGCTAAACTGAACAGTGCTCATTTCTTCACGGCTGTACTTGCGTACATGCAAAGCATAGTCTAAGAAGAGATTAAAAAGATTTGCACACTCATGTCCTCATTGTCATATCCCTGAATCTGAGGTTCGATACATTTCTGGTTCTTCACCAGTCATATATGACTTTTGTTGATTGATACAGTTCCTCTGTCAGATCAAAGCATTCACTTGGGTCACTACCTGAAAGATGTTTTCTGATGGCTGAGCAAAGGAAATCCCCATCGATGTGGTCATATTCTGTTGTGCTATCCACAGAAAAGGTATACAACTTTCTATTCAATAAATATGCTATTTCATGGAGCTGACAGATTGCACTTCATACCAGAACAAAAGCCAAATTGGGTCATTTGAATTTGTCTTTCATAGAATGATGAGTCTGGTTAATAAAATGTTCTTTACTATTTTGACCGTAATGGATCCAATTGGGATTCTTCTGTACATGTGAGGATCTTCAGGACACCCTTTTTGTTTCCATAATGCATTTGCGAGCATGACAGACCGCATTGGTTTTGAGGTAAGCTTTTGACTACCAACTTCCCTCATAGAATTGAGAAATTTACTTTTGGCTTCATGGACAAAATAAGCTACTTTCAAAACTTCAATCACAATGTCAAGGGAGCCTTTATTATTTTTTTTATTGCTTTCTTGACATCCGTATTATGGGGGTTCATTGTTATTTATGTTTTGAAACAGATTTTGTAATGATTGGTTATAAACTCATACCTTTTCTATTTCCTCTAGCATTTTCAGATTAGTGGCATCAGGATTGAAATGTGGCCAAAAGTGGTTTTTTTTTTTTTTTGGTTTTTTTTGAGACTGGGATAGTTCTTTTGGCTTTGATCGTATGACCATGGGTTTTTATATTCAAGATCAGTTTTAGACCAACTATGAACGCCCATGTCATCAGCATAACCTCTTTTATTGTCATTACACTGGCCCTTGAAGTGAAAACAAGTATACAATTTCCTGGTACAGCATATTAAAATGTTTTACACCTATTTCTTCGTATATGTGCTTCTATATGTGTTTTATAAAAAAGATTAAATAAATTGGGACTCTCATTTCCTCTTTGTCATACTCATGATGAGGTTTGAACTTGTTTTTTTTATGTCTTCACCAGACTTTGTTGATTGATAAAGTTCCTCTGACCTATCTTATGAATTTGGAGACAGAATAAGCTACTTTCAAAACTTCAATATCAAGGAAGGCTTTATTATTTTATTATTGATTTCTTGACTTCCTCGTCAGACAATCACATATTGATATTATTTTATTCTTTCTTATGAGAAATGTTGAATTACCTTATTTGATGATATAATTTTTTATGTTACAGTCTTATTGAGGTTAGGTCAGAATAAAAATTAGCCTATCCCCAAATATTTCAACTTTACATATAAAACTTTGAACATATTTATTCCTGAACTATTTGGGATAGTTGTGGTTGAATATGCTATCAAATAAGGAAGCTTAATAAATAACCATAGCTGATAGTAACAAATTGTACACATTTTTTCTGTCTTAATTTATGGGATGCAGAAGAGTCCATGTGACTAGTATCTTCATCTTTGTTGTTACAATAATTTGTCCTTTTTACCCTCCAGCCTTCATCAGGTGCTTGTCGATCTGGGTAACCTTCAGGGAATTTTGAACTGAACACTTGATTTAATCTACAGTATAGACCATTGTGAGGCACATACATTTGGAAAACCCAGTATTTATAAAAACACATATTGGAGCTGCTGGGCTACATGTTTAGGAAGTTTTTAAAAATGTTTCTACTTAAGACATAGATGTTGTATATATGGGCATTTATGTAGTAAATTTTTGAGTAATCATTTCATTTATTAAAATGTTCGTTTATTAAACAGCTTCCTTGATTAGTGATGCCCTCTGTGGCTTGAGTCAGATCTAATGACAGTTTCTCCTACCAAGAAGGACACAGATTTGAATCCTGCTTGAGAGTGCATATTTTTCTTTAAGAAGATTTTATGAATATTAAGGCCAGTAGACAAAAATAAATAAATATACTGTTTAATAAATAAACTGGACGTCTACTAAAAATTTGGGTATCCACTAATAATAATGTTTCAGTAATAAAATCTGTCTGATTTAATAAATAAAAAAAAACCCATTACTACTTAAAAAAAATATATATATATATAT